CTAGGCTGCTAAGCTGGGAGAAGCGCATGAACTTAGCTCACTGCCAGTATGGTAGAAACTGTCTTGTGATTTTTGCAATGGGCTTGCTTGGGCCACCAAAAAGTTCTTGAGTCAGGGGAAGAAGCCGACTCGAGGGTTTGTCCCTGAGGCAAGCCCTAAGAATCTCTAGAGCTTTAGCCACTAGTCTCCGAGCAGCAACTTCCAGCCTCATATATGGAACTATCACTCAATGAATACACCAAGCATGAGGGAAGCCCTTTGTGATAATATCTTATCACTTCTGCCTGTGTTACCTTGAATAGCCAGACAGGTGCATGCAAGTGTAATAGGGGAGGTGATCTGACCTCTTCTACTGGTGGCACCAAGAACTTGTTAGAGTGCTCAGAGCCAACACTGAACCACTTGAAGCATCATACTTGAATATTGACCTGTGACTAGGTCACTTCTTTGCTACATCTCAGCTCCACATTCAATTCCCCAGTACACACACTCTACACCACAGAAGAAAGCGGGAGCCCTCTCACTTTCTCGTGTTGGGTTAAATGTGGATGTTAAGTGAACATTTCCTCCTGCCAGTTGGGTTTTCATAGAAGTTACACCAGCAATATTTAAAATTAAAAGAGGAATAAAACGCAACTCTTGAAAATTCTTAGGTCTTAAAATTGAGACTGAAATAATTCAGTTTGAAAGAAAGAATGCCATTTGTTTTAGTGGGCTCTGAATCAGGTTCTTGGAGCTCAAAAGCACAGATAGGATCATGAAACCAGCTACAGAATTTCCATCGTGTTGCATGGCCTGACTTTTCATCATTTTATTTTGTCCTAGTTTGGAGAAAAATTCATAATCTTGAAATACTGAAATGTCTTTGATAATTTAACATTAAACCTGAAAATATATCATAATAGTCTGTCAAAATAAAAGGAAATGAAAAAGACAATGTGAAGATGCAAGCAAAATGAATTCATGGATTTTTTTTTAATTGAAACATTTGCAAACATATCTGTCAACAGTATAGTTGGGATGGAAATAGTCCTGCAAGAAACTATTTTGATGAAACTACATTTTTCCAAAGTAAATGTAAAGGTAACAGTCTTGGCACAGCAACCCTGACTGCCAAAGACATTTCCAAAGAGCCTTTCCTGAATTACAGAGGTTCAGTTCTTCTGAAGGGAGGGGGTAAGGAGGGTTTCATGCCAACTTCTTGTTGATAACACAAGGCCATTAAGGGATATTTCAGTGTTTGGTTTAAATTAGAGGAGCCTCATTGCTGCACTGTATATGAAGCCAAGGGAGTTTAAAGGTTGAACTTGACAGACAGGATCTGAACCCTTCCGAAAAGCCTTTGCAATCACAGCTGTCTGGAACTTGATACTGAACAAAGCACTTGTACTCAAAAGCACCTTCAGCTTAAAGTGGTCATTGAGAAAAAAACCCAACCAAACAACCACTGAGGAAAAACTCCCAGCAAAGTCACAGTATCCCCTCTACACCCATTTCCACAAAACCTTTGGTCAAGGTTTTTTATGCTGCCAGGGAAGTGGGCTTTGTCAAAATTAAGAGACGTATCAGAGACTCTCAGAGCACACCGTAATGTCACTATTTGTGACCTTCAAATACAAGCAGGTGTGATTCTAGGTAAGTGAGATTAGACTAAAGTGGCCATGAAAGGTCATGCTTTTATCTTACACTACTTACATTTTTGAGAGGCGGGTCATATGATGAGCTATAAAATGAGTGAGAGTCCAGCACAGCACTTGGGGAAGTCTAAAACTGACAGGAGAGGTACTCATTTGCAGGTGAAGAAGTAGAACACTGTGAGTGACACAAGACACAATTCCTTTTGCCAGAGAATGGTTGAAAAGTTGTGCCCTGGTGGCACCTGCAGTCCTGCTGCTGCACAGGCAATGCAGAAAGCCTTAAACTATAGCCTGCTCTCACAGAGACACACAACAACATCCAAAAATATACTCAATGTCTTACTTGGCTTGGTTTGTGCCAGTTGGATGGTGGGTTAATATTCAGTGTTGTGATTTAAGACTAGAAAGTCAAGTGTATATCTTCAGTTACTGGAGTGTCCTTAAACTGAGAATGATTTGTACAATTAAAAAAAGATTACTAAACATTACCGGGTCAAGTAATTGCTTGATCAAATGACTTTTACAGCAAACTGTACAGAACATACAATTCACAGTTCATTTTCTGGGATAATCACATAATAAGCAGGAAAATTGGCCAATTTATCAAAAACTATTAATATTTTGTTTGATTAGGCTTGAGAACATTATACTAAATACAGCTTCTCCTCACTTGAATTTTGGTTTCTGAACTGCCACTGGTAGCACAGGTGAATGCTACTGCAAGAGTGGCTTTGAGCAAAACCATACCTAAAACATTTTCAATTAAGAGGGTAAATTTGTGGGTAATTGAGCTGAAATATTTCATGAGCTTTTTTGACCTCAAAGCTATGACCACCCTTTGTAACATTATATAGTGAGACTCTGCGCTAGAAAGTACCTAAAATAACTCAGTATAACTTCTTTAATAATATAGTCAGAAAATACTGGGTGCAGTGGGAATGAAGGATATATTAATTTTTTTTATTTTTATTTTTTTTTACATTGATATACAGACTTTTTGCCATTGTACAGTGAAAAGAAGAAGTTAAGTGGCCCAGCAATAGGGTCAGAATCCTGACCTATTAATTCACGTTTAACAGAGAAGAGAACCAATTAAATAAGAGTCATGGGAAAAGGAGTTTGCCTGTTTAAGTGCAGAGAAGTCACAAAATCTCAGGCTGCCACTCTGAGGTGGAAGGATAAATTGCCTAGAGATACCGAATACTGGTCCTAAGTTAATTACATCTCCTTCAGTGAAGAGCAGGTGACAGTGGCACAGCGGGAAAAGCACTTTAGAAGTAGCTAAATCTGAGCAGGTACATCTGGGAAGGAGAACAGCAAAATGCCACACAAGTGAATCAAACTGAAACATGTAATGGAGTAAAAACCAGGAGAGAAAGGAACATTGCTTGCCTATAGGAAGGGATAAACTACTTCCCAGATAGGAATTCTACCATCAGCGTTGTGATCTCCATATCAGCAGAGCTTTGGAGTGCTGCAGTTAAAACAACTCATTCATTGCTCAGGACACCCTGTGTTTAGCTGGGGTAATTAGCACACAGAAGGCTGTTTGAGTGTTTTTAAAAAAGAAAATTTAAAAAGACAAAGTGAAAAAAAGACAGCAATGTCAGAGTACTTCAGTGTCACTGTGAGATAAGTCAACCTTAGGCAGATGTACAGCACTGATCTTGTAAACTAAAGTGTCTCGCCTTCACAATGTTTTACCTCAGGAAAACAAAGGTGTATTAGTTACCCTGAGGTAAAAGAAAAAAAAAAAAGCTCCTTCAGCCCTGATGAAGACAAGTAGTCAGTTTAATTTATTGTAAGGTAAGCAGAAAGGCTGTGCCTAGATAAGAACACAGCATTGGCCTCACAGACTTAGCCAGAGGCAAGCACCTGAAGTGTCACCTTCCCCTTCCTATTTGTAGTGACACAATCCACATTTGTTAGCTTGCTCTAACAAGCTCATCTGTCTTGAGGAACAAAGGCAAAACCTTCTTCTATCTTAGTTTTGAGGTCAAAGGCAAAGCTTAGAGAAGGTTATTAACAAAATCAAACAGATTCGGAATTACTGGAAAACTGTTCTGTTTTATTTAAAAAATTGGTTTGTTTTTGCTCCCAAATTTTTAAGGGTTTTTCTTTTGCTTTCAGTAACATAATGCACCTATCATCATCTTTTTTTGAAGCTGTTTTACTTTTTCCTTGCCTTCAACACACACCAATACACCAATTCCCATATCCTACTCCAGATTTCTTCTGAAAATGAAGTTATTAATATAGGATAAAAGTTGTACCTTCCTCTGACATTAAGGATCAGTCACTTCTTCCCCAGGTGAATACCCCCAAGGAGTAACAGTCAGCAATTTCAAAACCAGGTCATTTAAATTAAAGGCAAAAATCCAGACTTTATAGATTAAAATGCAGGCAAAGCCGTAAAATTCATATTAAATATAACATAAAATCAGGACCAGTCTAGACCTTTTTTGTTACAATTTGCTGATGAAGCAAGAGTAAAACCTTACCTAGGAGAAAGGCCAGCTTCTCAAAACTAGCACACAATCTGTCAGGCTTCTCCTCTGAAACTGTATAACCATTTTCTTCCATCCTTTCAGGGGCTTTGTCTTCAGGTAAGAGGATTCTTTATTAGGAAGTGGGATATCAGGATTACTCCTACTCTAATAGTTGCATACACAGAGACTGGAATGCCTTTCCAACTGAATTGTTCACTGAGTTTGAACTGAGACCACTGGATTTACCTCCTGTACACATTTGAGAACATTTCTGTGCATTAAGGGTATATGGTCATATCAAAGAGTAATTCTGATCCTCTGCTAGTGGCTAGAGAATTTATAATTAATAAATTCTCCCTATACAATTTGAAAACTCTCAGTAAGTTACAACCTGAGTGGCAGGCTTTCAGCCCACAGTAGGATCTGTAGGGATGGTAACAAACTGGCCTATCCCTTATCCTTACAACTCTATCAGTTCAGAATTAGCTGAACCTCATTTAAAACAGAATATTAATCTATTGATAATAAAATGTGGGATAAATGCATCACAACCACGGGCTGTCACAATCTAAGGCAAATTATGGGAGGGGGACGTGGGGGGTGAGAAACAGCACAGGAATTGGCAATATGAGACATGATTATCACATGGAATGAAGTAGTCAAATCCTTGGTGTTTGCAAACAACTTGCATATCTCCACCAAAGCAATCACGTGTCAAATATTCACAGTAGATGCCTGCCACAAAATGCAGCAAACGAATTATTAGTGGTTCAACCAGGACAGCCTTCTGCTCCATTATTTAGCATAACCAATTATTTGGGTATCCTTCTTATGGTTCAGACCCCCTTACCCCTCTGCCCTTACCTTTGACAACCACTGGTTGTTTTCCATTCTTGTGATTTCACTGACCTGCAAAATAACATGTGAAAGAACTTAAAGGCAGAGAAAAAACCAAAATTAATTTACACTCATTTAAAATTACATTAGAATTAACAAGTGACCTTTCATTTCACTCTAATTTTTAATTGAAATTCAATCTATCTGTACTCAGAGGAACATATAAGGCGAGATTTTCAACACTGGCTCCATTTTTTTTTCTATCTTTAAATGGAATTGGCCTCAGCAGGGACAAAAAAAACCCAAACAAACAACAAAACAAAGCAAGCCAGGGACCTCTCAAAAATTGCACAGTTTGTGCCAGATAAGAACACTGATAAAATTTCCATTGAAATTGCTGTGGTTTGGAGCTTAATCCTCAGCACCAGCATGTAGCTGTACTGGCCAGTGAGGGCTGCAATATGTGAGAGGCTCACAAAATCCCTGCCCAAACACACAGCACCATGGTACCATATCAAGAGCTCTCCTTTGTGTTATTGTCACCTGAAAGAGAGATAACGTGCTCAAGCATTACTCTGAAGACTGTGGTACGAGAGAGAGCCAGTATATCCACTATCTTGTCTCTATCTAATAAAAAGATCTGGAGGCAGACAGCAGAGTGAAGTTACCTCCTTTGTGTTGGGGATTAAACCTATCTAAATGGTCCCAGATCTAGGAGAGGTACAAAATCAGTTCAAAATAGAAGCCTGGGAGAGTATCTGAGATGGGAAAGAAGATATGCTGGCTCAGACCCTCAGAATGAATGACAATGATACACGATGATAGTCTTGTTTATCTGGATCAGGAGATCTGGGCAACCAAAGGCCCAATTATTAATTGAATCACTTAATGATCTGTATGATGGAAAACATCTTAACAACAGTCCACAATCTACCAAATATAAAGATCCAAACTATCTAATTCAAACCTTACACTAACTCCAACTATTTAAAGATGAATGATTGTGATCTTCACTCATGTTCTTTACAATGCAGACCTGAAGGTGTCACACAAGTCCAGGGACAAGCAAGTCTCCTGTACTGCACTGTCGCAACATGTTGAGATCAGCTGCACATTTGCTCTCCCCAAGCAGAGGATCAGTGCTGAACCCACCACCTTTGATGGCAGCTGGCCACAGAGTTCTGCAGCACAGAATTGTTACTTGGGAAAAGATGCAGAAACCCCCTGTACACGCAGGAACCTGCTGATGACAAAGCCTTGCCTGAATCCCAGATGTCTGCACCACTCCCAGGACCCATTTTCACATGCATACATTTACTCCTTAGTGGACTTAAGCTCAGCCTGAATTTAAACTGTCCACAAGCACCATCTGCCCTCACCAAGACCACAGTACTTGTTCCTGTCTGGGGTTCCAGCAGCCCACCTTGGGACCTGGAAACAAGCAGGTTGCTGCACAAGCCAACAGATGGCTGTCTTGCATTTCTTTCCATTGACAATCATATTTGCTACAGAGAAACAACTGTTCTCTTGAATCTATTTCCCATCAGGATTCTACACGATTTTGCAAAAAGAAAGAATAAGAAATTATCTAAACTGTTCCACCTTGAATATGGAGAAAATTTTAGCTATGACACAAGTGCCGCACTGTTTAAATATGTGACTGCTGTACTAAATATTCGGGTTTTTTCTCATTAGGCCGCATTAATTTCTATACCAGATTTTTTCTGCTTTTATTTAAACCTTTTTAATCTATGTACATTCAGCAGAATTAAAACAATAAATGCACATGGATATAATTATCACACAGCATAACTACACAAGAGTACCTGGTCCACACTACCCAGGAAATCAGAAAAATGACCCTTTAGAATCTCTAAGTCAGTAGTTACTTATACACCCTAAGCAGACTTGGCTGAATATTACAGAAAAATAGTGAATAATTTTGTCATAAGCACTGTCAGCTCATTCAGTTGTTATTTGTGGCTTATTATTAACAACCGCATATGTGTATCTGCATGACAAACGTTTTTAGCCCTGAAGATGTTTATGAATCCTAAATACTTCACAAATAGTCAGTGAATAATTATCCATGCTGGAAAGTAGTATTGCAAGTCATTATGGGTTAGATCTTTTCAGTGATTTTCTCATTTTAACAGACTAAATTATCTAACCATAGTGTAGAAAGGAGGACTTGCTTAAGCAGACAAATCAAATGCCTAAAAAGAAATAACAGATTCTGAAAGAAATAGTAGTAAGAGATAGTTCCTAAAAAAAAACCCAAAGCCTTTTTAATAATTACTTTTTTTTTTAAGTGAAAAGAATTAGAAGAATTTTTGAGCAATTAACACATTCATAGAAAACTTGATCAGTTCAGAAATAGGAGAAAAGGAAAAAAAGATTAATCAGTTCCATAGCTCATCAAGAATAATTTTGAACACTTCTAGTCCTTAACAGACTTAAAGATTTACAATTAATCACCATTGTCAGAGTGAAATCCCCTCTATTCTTTAAGATTTAAAATAAATTAGACTTCATTCTGGACAAATTCATTGTTCAAAATACATAATAAGCACCACTTGGAAGAGCGTATAGTTCAGATTAGCAGAGAGAAGAGCTAAAGCTACAGATGTTTGCATGGATACCAGTTTTAAATCAGTTTTGTCTCTATTCACTTCTGTGGTTGGCATTCCCCAGAGGACATGCATGTCAGATATATACCAGCAAATATTCCTGTAGTGGTCACTTGAAAACGAGCAATTTCTTTTTTACCATCCTCTGTCTGCAGAAAACTTCGTGGAAGAATCCCCTTTTTTAAATGCTTTAGCCACAAGCAATAATATTTTGGATTTGTGACACATTCTTGAAACTTCATGGAATTTGCACTCCTTTATATGCAGGAGTCAAAAAAAGGCTGGTTTCTCCTCTTACGAAATATAGGAAATGCAATATGAAATGCAGACTTTAGGACTCTCTTCCAGGAAGAAAAATAAGGACAGAGGACAATATGATAGCATTTTGTCATTAAAACGCTTATAGTTTTGTTGCCTGGATTATTTGACCAAACCTGAAATCCAGTTAGAGGTTGTAATTCCATTTACACAAATTTATTCTTTTTCAGAAAGCAGACTGCCTGGATTAAAACTCCTTTTTAAATAAGCATTTCTGTTGGAAAAGACCACAAACAATCCACACAGAAAAACAGTTTCAAATTCACTATTCTAGGATGAAACCTAAAATCCTGATAAAAATATTTATGGAACAGAAATGCTATTACATGACTGACATGCCAAATAAATTATTACCTCCTCTGAACAGATGTCAAAAAGAATTTATAGCTCAAAGTTACTCAGGTAAGCATCCTAAACAAATACGCTTGGAAAAACACTGCTGCTAATTTCACAAGAGAAAGGAAAAATAAAACTTATCAAATGCAATTTCTGCTGTTACTTACCTTAACACATCATTCCTCTGTACGCAGCTGGTCATGAAACCTTGCTACCAGGTGAAAGAGAGTGATGGTGATTAAGAGATATGCAAAAGGTTTCTTTTCTGTGATAACAAAAAAAAATAAAATATCTACAGTTACTTACTCTGGGGAGAGTTCACATGGTATCAAACCCTCATCTTGCGTGGAATCTTTCACCAGAGTCCAATCTCCCCAAGTGGCCAAAGATTATGAGGATGGTGATCAGTACATTCACATGCTGGTGAACAAGAACAGGCAGAAGACCAGGGACATGACACTGATTACAGTCATGATATTCCTGAGGTCCTTTTTGTTCCATCCACCCTGACACTTCAACCTGCAACAATGTTTGGAAGCTGGAGAGTGAATAAGGAACTCTCATTTCTTCTGCAAATAAAGACAATCTTGCCTTCATTGTGATGCCTGGGTGTATTTTTTGAAAGCATACACTGCACAGCAGGTTTTTAATCTGGAACAATCAATGAGCAAAATTTTTTGTGTAGCACTAGAAAAAAATCCCAGTGGCCAGGTTTTTACTGGAAAACTATGTAGCCCACATATGATAGCAGAATATATTAAAAGGCAGTATATTTGTGAAGTGAAACAACCACAGGTAAACTGTTTCTGGTCCAGTAGTTGACAGAGCTCACAGTCTGAGGGCAAGTTTTATAGTTTACATAAGTCCTTGCACAATGGGGACTCACCAAACAAATACCACCACAGTCTCAGCAGAGAACCAATCTCTTTTCAGACTCTCAGCAACTCTTCAAATCCATGGTCTCACTATCTTGCATACAGCAGGCCTCCTTCTTGTAGGACTTCATTTATTTGAAGAGATGACTGTATTCCATTGCCAAGATGCTGAGAATTGTCCAGACTGCTGAGTTCTGCTGAAGCTGCATGAGCTCTTCACAGACACTCATCTCCATATGTGGCTGATACAGTGATGGACAGTCTCTCCTCAGGAGCAGGCTGTCACCCACAGACGAACCATCACAGCCAGAGCTCCTTAACATATGCCAAGGTTACCTTGGCATCTACATGAAACTTAAAATCCCTACCAGCAAAAATAACTTGTAGCATTGGCTGTGGACAAGAATGACATTCTGCAAGTCTTCCCTGCAAGTGCATTGGAGAGGGCACTGTGGACAGGGGCACTATGGAGTGTTGCCAGGACTCCTATCAATACAAGTACTTGTTCATTCCAGTGTTGATGGACATTATCAACAGTTCCTTATAAGCAGGCTGCATTTCATATTTACAGCTAATGCATTCATAATGGAGTTATCAAACCTTTTCTTGTTACTTTAATCTGCTTTCAGATTTAACTAAAACTTGGGATTCTGCCCTGCAGTCTCCACCCCTTCTTTTATCAAATTCCCTGCTGCTTCAGAATATTTTACTTTTTACGTTTCTGAGTTGAAGCTTGTGAAGTCTGCTGATCTGGCAAGTGAACAGACCAGAACTGGACTTCTAGATATGGACAGGACATCTCATGCTATTGCAAAGTCTTTAAGACAGTGCTCCTCACACCTTTAGTGTCAAGCTCTTGAGTTTCTGCAGTCGCTCACAGTCCTGTCCAAGAATTAGGCATTAGGAAAACTCCTATCAAAAAATTTTTAGAGTTTCTGATGTAGGGGATGATGCTCAGACTGCATTCCTTGACCTCCTTGTCAGGATGTAGCATCTTCAGCAGCCCACAGTCACTGGAGCTGACTTAAAAGGCACAAGAGGGGCAACTGTGCTTTGCCCTCATTTCTGCAGTTATTCTTTATGCTCATTTTAGGAGTGTTGATAACACTAGGTTGCTATGAACAGACTTTTCTCTACATGAGCTTATGCTTGGCTATTTCAGATTCACTGGTAAACCACAGGAATCCCATTCCTAGATACAATGTGTTCTTGGAAGATTGTCATGGTGTCTGAAGACAATCCAACTGGTCTTCAGAAATACCTAAATGGTTGCATTAATATTTGTCTTCTGTTACTATAATGCACTTAGTAACAGCATACGTCTTAAAAATATTATAATCTTTCTCCATCCAGTCACTTACTGGAAAATTTATGAATTAACATTCTCGGTTTTCTGACTAAGACAGGTCCTTAAATCTATGAGGTATGGTTCATATTCAGCCTAAAAACAGTAAGAGTCGAAATTATCCCCACAGAAGCATTGATCATACTAAATGAACTTGCTGAAATAAAATAAAAAATGTTTCCAGAAGGTAGAAATGCCACAGTCCTCATCACAACTGGCATCCTTTAATCCCTTTTAGAAGAGATCTGATTAAAATTAAATCTAGAGATATCCCCAGCTAGAAGCTGAGACACTTACTGGAGAAGCTTACTCACTAAATCAATATTAAATCAGCAGTTTCTTGTCTTATAATGGTTGACTGTGTACTCTACTTATTCTAAAGTCAGTGATAAAGTACTTATTGACTACGATGGAGCAGAACTGACTGGACTATGGTGCTGCCCTTTAGGAAATACCACTCATAGGTAATAAAACAACAAGGAACTAGAACAAAGAAGATCTAGATTCATCTCATAGATCTTCCCTGTGCGTGAAACAAAAAGTCATGTAATTCCTCTGTACCAGAGTTGCCAGATCAAAACCAGAGCAAAGAAATTTTCCATTCCTTCATTTCTTGTCTTAGTCTAAAAGGAAGAGAGAATATTGATCCCCATCTCTTGCTATCCTGAACATAATACTTGTAGCAACATAGAATTGTAGAATGGCTTGGGTTGGAAGGGACCTCAAAGCTCATCTAGTTCCAACCTCCCTGCCATAAGGCAGAGACACCTTCCACTAGACCAGGTTGGTCCAAGCCCCATCCAGCCTGGTCTTGAACACCTCCAGGGATGGGGCAGCCACAACTTCTCTGGGCAACCTGTGCCAGTGCCTCACCACCCTCACAGTAAAGAATTTCTTCCTTACATCTAACCTAAATTTCCCTTCTTTAAGTTTGAAGCTGTTACTCTGCATCCTATCACTACAGCTCCTGGTGGAGTCCCTCTACGCAGCTCCCTTGTAGGGCCCCTCAGATACTGGAAGGCCGCTCTGAGGTGTCCACACAACCTTCTCTTCTCCAGGCTGAACAGCCCCAAATTTCTCAGCCTGTCAACAGCATAATCATGAAGTGCTCTGGTATGCAGTGAACCCTGTGGGCACAAGCCTAAAACTGCTGAGACTGGTACCAAGTAAAGAGGTGTCTGAGCTCATGCTCAGCTATTGGACAGGTGGCTCTGGGAGCCACCTTGTCCCATACAGCTGCATAGAAACCCCCAATTTAAACACCTATCAAGTAGAAGCAGCTGAGGTAAAACTTTGAACACACCAATGTAGCTTTCCAAGAAACCACCTCCGGTATCTCCTCTGTGCTGCAGCACTGATGTTTCCTTTGCCACAGACACGACATTGCTCATCTCTCTCCCCCCAAGTACAAACATCTTACAAGTCAATTCTGTGGTTAATGCAAGCTGACAAAAGGAGGTTTATATACTGTGCAACAATACCCACTGCCACTCACTGGAGCAGAAGATACTTCAAGGGCAGCCTTCTCCTGTGTGACACAACTACTGCTTCCCAAACAGCGCAGATGACTTGCAGCAGTAACGCTGCTTTCTGCTCCGAGTCCCCCAGGTACACTGTTAACTCCCCTCTTGTGGCAGATGTGCAGGTTAATCGGTATCTCAGCCTGCAGTGGTCCAGCTAATTTAAACGCACACTCTGTGGAGAGTAGAGAGCCTGAAGGAAGTGGGAGGGGAAAGCTGATAGACTTTGAAGGAAGAACAGCCTGCTAATTTCTGCAAAAACTGAGCAAGAGACAGATAAAACTAAATTAGCGATCTATTAAACATAAATTAATGACATCTGCAAATGAAACGATATCTAAAATAATCACTCTAATAGCAGGATCTCTGGTGAGCATTAATGCTTAATTTTTTCTTGTATTTGATGAAGGCATCTATTAATTAAAAATATTTATACAAGGTAGAGGCTTGACAAGAATACTCTGTGCAGCTGTTCTTAAGGGAGCTGCTTCTGTTAATCAGCTATTTCAGAAGAAAATACCTCTAGTCTATGCAAAGAAGGCAAGATTGTACTTCAGTAAATCATATTTAAGGCCTGTGGTTTCTAAATATCCTCTGTGGCTAGAATTAGATGAAGTAGGCTGCTTTCTACAGATCATATAATACACTTTCCATTGTTTAGTTAGCTTGTAGTGAAAAGAAACCTTCATCTTATCCTCCCCCTCTTTTACCCCCCTTTTATTGAATTGTTGAACATCCAAGTACAAAAGCAGATGATATGATATGCATGAACGTATTGTACAAATGGGGAGGACAAAGCTAAACCACACATTCAATAGCAAGTATGAAAATATTATCAGACATTGAGGCAGAGACAAACCAAGACTGTGTGTCATTAATGAGACTATTCAAAGTAATTTGATGGAGTTACAATTCTATTGTCATCCAGGACTGAGAAAGAATCACTTACCATTTGAAAAAAAGAATTGTTAATCATTATGTAGCTCTCTGGGGCACTAACTCTTTCAGGATTTTGTTCTTTGTCTCCCATGCCCTCCTTTTTTCCATTCTTTTCCCCCCTCTCATCTTTTCTCTGCTGTGAAAACAGAGAGGATTAGAAGTTGTCCTGACATATTTCATTGTAAGGTTGCTAGTTTTGTCTTTCAGCATTTATTATTTTGAATTCTGTATGAGGCACCTGTTGGCTGATGAGAATAAATCAACAGGAAGGTCACAAATGGGTTTGTATTGTACTCTTGCCTTTTTAAGCCTGTTGAGAACTCACTACTTTGTTATGCAGGAATAAATGCTGGAGAGGAGGCCAACCACACTGTTCAACACTATTTCATTGTGTGAACTGTGTAGGTTCCTTGAACAGAAGTTAAGATTAAAATCCTGTTGCTAATATTGTCACAATTAACTCAGGCCAGTGAGGGCAGGAGTCTCAGTTCATGACACCAGTTAAGTAAGTCATAGTTAAACTGCTCTACCACAGCTCTTGGGATGTTGCATGAGAAGAAACGAACACTGCAAAAAGGCACTTGGAGAAATAAACAGGGAAGGTGATGTATGGATGCAGCTTTCTGAAAGCTCTGATAAAAAGGCTTGCCTGTGCAGTCCATCATGCTTGCTAAGTCAAGGATGGGTGGCATAAGAGCAAGTGATGAATGTGTTAAATTGCTAAAAAGTGGATAAGGGGGACAGCCTGGGACTTTGACAATGATTGCTTTTGCTTATGCTACTGCTATGATAAAACACGGTGGCCAGTCATGTGGGAATAACAGAGTAACTGCTGCAGGCCCCCCTCCTTTTTTAATCCAAGGGACAGAGCTGAAGTGAGCTCTGGAGTAAGGAACATTTCTATTAGAGAAAGGGAAGTAAAGTAAAATGAATTTTAACACATGACTTGATACATATTATGGCTCATGAGAATGTCCAGTTCCCTATGCCCTTTACAAACTGCAGCGGGCTTTACAAGGAGATCTGTTCCCCAGCAACACTGCCCATTTCTTTCACTACAGTATATCCATAAGAACATGGCCTGAGGAATGGAATACAAAACCAATTCCCTCTTTTTGGATAGGGAGGGAAAGAGATGTAGCCCTCCCAAGTCCAAAAGCCTTTCTCACCTGGTAGTCAGCTACACAGGCAGCTCCACTGCCCCATCCCAAGAAGATGCACCATTCCCATGAAAGGAGAATTCAGCACTGATGAGGCCAGAAAGGGGGAGCAAGGGTTACTGTGCTCCATTCCCTGTCCCAAGCCTTGCTTATGCACTTTGACTGAACATGAATGAGCAAAGTCCTAGATACTTAGCTGAGTTCTGAATTGCCCAGGAAAAAAACATTCTTTCTCCTGTGTGACCCCCAGAATCTTGATTTTTTAAAATATTATATTTTCTCTATTATTAAAGATATATGTTATGGATACATCCACAACATTTTACATCTGTGGCCAGTTATAGCTCCTTTTTTTTTTCTTAGTAAAAGATACATTTACACATTCAGATTTGTATTGTTTTTAATCAGATTGGGTGTTTGATTAAATATTTCTTTTTCTCATACAATTTTTTTCACTGATCCCTCCAGCTTGGAACGCCAATGCCAAAGTCAAAGCACAGCCAGAACATCCTTTCATGTGCTAAGTGAAAGCATTAAGAGTTGGAAGTTAAATTCATTCATGGCAAAACTTCCACTGGCTTCAGTGAATGTTGGAGTTTTCCAGGTTATTTCAATATATGAAGAGACAAATGTTATAATGCAATGTACTGTAATTTTGCTTAACTTTAAGGAACATTCAAATGAGAAGTAACTATAAACAACAGGGAAGAAATTGCTCCATTTCTAATGAAGAAGAACAGTTTCAAATGTTGGTAAATTAGGTTCCTTTTTCCATAAATACAGTGATTTTTCAATTCCAATTCCATTTCTGAATCCAGATTCAGATGCTGTATGTATTGGCATGGTAGGAATACATACTTTTCAGCTTTAAGAAATTATTCCAGTAATAATCAAGTAAGAACTCTCAAGCTTTTAGCATTTACCCATCATTAACGTACAGCATGAATTGGCCTCTTCCCCAGACACTTCATTCAACAATAAATTCTGATGATACCAACCCATTGAGCTGCAAAGCAGAACAGACAATAGAAGACCACAAAGAATCATCAATCTGTCTCTAAGTGTTGGTGAACTGGCATTATTATGTTTTTTTTCAGTTCCATCCATGTGCACCATGCTGCACAAGACATGCAGTGCCAGCTCACCAGCTCACATAATTTGTCGTCTTTCTGACAAAGTTAATGGATCTATGTAAGTTTACCCCCCAGGTGAGAATGTGAGCCAACATTTAGACATGACATTGCTTTGATAAACTTGCAATATGAAGAAGATGGTGGCATGACAGGCAAAA